TAGTGTGCCTGTGTGTATGTAACCTGGTTTTGGTTGTTAGATTGTAATGCTGTCTCTTGACTGAGAAAAGAAATCTAATATAAAGAAAAATCACAAGAAATAATAAAAAAAAATCTATTTAAACTCTGATTTTATGTGTGTTCCTTTTAAAGCCTGCAAGTAAACCTGTCTTTAAAAAGCTCTGTTTTTTTAAAAAAGCTTTAAAAAGTCAATTCTGTAAGAGACAGGTAACAGAAAAATGTCCCCTTTGAAGATAACGATGCACAGGAGAGGGGATGGCACAAGCTGAGGTGTTGGAGGGGATTTATTTCCCCTCCACATTATACCAAACCCTACAACTCAGCAGGCAATTTACAGAGCTAAAGCAGATTGCCCTGAGAAATCACGAGTCCCAGATGAGCTGATCCCTGCAGCATCATGTTTCCCCAAGCACATAGCCAGCAGTGGGAGATGTTTTCACCACCCACTGAGAGAAAGAGATGCCTCCAAGGTGATTAAAGGCTTGGAGCATCCAGCAGATAGGAGGCTGAGAGCTGGAACCGCCCAGCCTGGAGAAGGTTCAGGGACATCCTACTCAAGTGTGCAGATTCCTGATGGGGGAAATACAGAAGACAGAACATCCTCAGCCCCAGGGCATGGTGAGAGGCACAGATTGAGGTAAAAAAAAAAATATATATAATTTAAACATAAGAAAGTGGTTTTTTTATTCCAGAGTGGTTGGCCACAGACGCAGGTTGAGAGGTTGAGGAGCCTCCATCCTTGGAGATACCCAAGATGGGAGCAGACACGGCCCTGAGCAGCTTGGGGCAGGGCTGGGATGGGGCTTGCCCAGCCCAGCAGCTGCTCCAGCTCCTCCAGCAGAGCCAAGCCAAGGGGTGCTCCAGGTGTCACACACATGATCCCCCAGTAGCTGGGGAAGCACTTCAAGGAATTGTTAGGAATTGGGAATGAAAAAATAGATGGGAGTGAGCTTTGACAAACTTTCTCACAGGAAAACCAAATTCAGCAGTGGAGACAACGCACAGGGTTATTTGGGATGGATGGGCCTTGGGAGGTCCAGTCCAACACCCTGCACACAGCAGGGTAAATACAGAACTCATACCATGTTGTACAGGGATTTGTTCAGCCAAAGTTTGAAATTCACCCCAGAGAGATCCACCACCAACATCCCGGGGGAATATTTTGTTCTCTCCAGTCAGAACATCCTCTCCTTCTGTGTATTCTAGTGGTGTCCTTTCCTCCCAGCACCCACCTCCGTAAGAGCCCAGCTGCATCTTCTCCAAGACATGAAAGGGTGATGAAACCCCTGGCCATCCTGGTGGCCTCGACTTTATCAACATCCTTCTTGTGTATGTGGGTGTGTGGTGCTGGAAACCAGGTGACAACACTCCAGTTGGGGTCTAACAAGTGCCAAGAAAAGGGGAACAATCACTTCCCTTACCCACGGGCTGCCATCCTGCGGGCACAGCACAGCCCTCCCTGCACACAGCTGGGCTCTGCTCTCCTCCAGGGCTCCCCCTGCAGAGCTGCTCCCCCCTCGGGCAGGGGAAGGGTGGTCAGGCACTGGGACAGCCTGCCCAGGGCAGTGGTGGGAGTCACCATCCCTGGAGGGGTTTAAAAACATGTGGCACCCGGGGACACGGTTCAGTGGTGGCCTTGGCAGTGCTGGGGGAACAGATGGTCTTACATGGTTTTTCCAACTTAAACAATTCTGCAATTCTGTGACTATCAGCTTGTACACCAATAGGTAATTTGTCATTATGAAAGCTGACAACTTATATTTAATGACAATTTATATTTAATTGGCCTTTCGAGAGGCGTATTTTTAAAATTCAGTAAGAAAGAGAAAAGGTGAAAGTGCTTGTGCACAAAGGCCCGAGCAATCTGCAGAGCCGGCTCCTGGTTCTCCTGGGAGCACCAAACCTGACCTACTTTCCTCGGCACAGCCCCCCCTGCCCCCCCGATGGCAGCAGCGTCAGCAGATAAACGCAGCCCTGCAGGAGCCCTCACCCCACCCAACGGGCCCTTCCCCTGCCTGTCCCCTGCCTGTTCCCTGCCTGTTCTCTCTGTGGGAGCCTCCTCGCCCCGTGCTCCCTGCACAGATCCCGGGGGGGACAGGGTGGCCCTCCCTATTTCCTTGCTTTGCAGGAACAACTGCATCAGTTAATTTGTTTGTGGTTAAACAAATTCCTTTCCAAAGCTCCATATAAGGAGCTTGCAGGCCCAGAGCTCTAAATAATCCCTTCAATCCTCCTGTTTGGAATGATGCTGCTGCTGTTGCTAATAATAATTCAACCCAATTTATAGGACAATAACATTTATTTAGAGCATGAGGGATTCCACATTATACAAACCCTTAAATTTATTTTTTGTTTCACTGGTCCATTTCTACAACAAATACATCAGATCTACTATATAATAAAATTATTTACATTTCCAAACAATATGGGGTTTGTTTATAAACCCTCAGACTGCTATTCACATACAGTACTTCAACAACAGCACAATACATTATTTTAATACCTAAAAATGACAACCCTGTATTCTAAATTGTTTATGAAAAGTGGAAACAAATAAATTTACAATTGTCTTCCCCTCCCCGTCCGTTTCATACAAACACATTACCCTAATGTGCTAACCCTGGACTTCGCTTTGTAAATCCAGGGGGTTTTAGAAGAACCCAGTTTTTATAACTATTTATCTGTTTTTTAGAAAAAAAAAATCATTTATTGGGAACAGTATAATATTAAAATGACTTACTGTACAGAATTTTATTTAAAAAAGAAAAATCACAGCTCAAAATTGCTATTGGTAAATTCACACTCATTTACAAGTCTCATGTTTCCATGCAGTAATTTACTTGGATTTTCTTCTTTTTGACTGCATTGCACTGGTACTCGTTTCTGAAATCAAGAGAAGAAAAAAAGCATGGATACGGAGTTGGTAAGCCATTCCCAAGAGGGGCACAGATTGCCCTGTTATTCTTCCAAACTCACACCAGAGTGGAAACCTCTGGAGACCAGGATTTCCCAGCACTGGGACTGACTCCTCAGCAGCTGGAACGACCGGACCCATCGCCCCGACAGTTGTGGCAGCTGCCACACCACGGCCCCGAGCCGCTCTCAGCAGAGAGTCTGCCTCTCAGGAAGCCTCTAAAAGAAGAGCCAGATATTTTTAACTGTTCTTTAAGTTCAGTTCCCCACATGCCACAGCTTGCAGGGCCTTATTTATCCCAGAAGGAAGCACAGCCTTGGGCACCACCCGTGCCTGTCAGCCCCGGGCACCACGGAGATGGTGCCCCACAACAGCTGGGGAAGGTGTTTTGGAGCCTGCCACGCAAGTTAAGAACCTAGTTGTGTGAGTTCTTGGAAAGTGATTGGAAAACGAGTCTCTTCAGTGTAACTGAGTCTCAGGAACACAGCCTATGAAGAGAGACACAAATACTAGCACCCGCAGAGTCATGGTGACAGCAGGTGACATGTCCAGTGCACTTACCAAGGCACTATGATTCCCCTTCAAAACAAAAAAAGAGTAAGGACCGAGGGCATTTGCATCTTTAGATTTTTAAAAAAATGTGACTTAAAATGTTGGCAATGTCTCTTTGGCTCTTTACAATCTTTTCCAAAAGCTATTGCAGCTGTGTATATTTTAAATGTCAAAAGGGAAAAAATTTCCAAGTCCACCTAAAACTAGAACAGTAACAGTACATGGCTGTTACACATGGTATTAGAAAAAACAATCAACACTTCAAAATTTAACAAACTCGAAGCTACAGTAAATGCTGAAACAGCCCTTGCTGGAAAAAGTACTCCAGAAAGGGAAAATACCAATACAGTACCAATTTCAGGAGTGAAGGACCTCCACAGGCACAACTGCAGCCTGGAGCCCCCCCAAGCAGCAAGGCTGACTCTGAAGTAGCTTCAGCACTAGCTGTTGCCACCTTTGCTGCTCCAAGCTCTGTGTTTGGGAGGAGGAATGGGTCAGCACAGCTCAGGACCTGTCCCAGTCCCCTGGGAGCATCGCCAACATCTCCCCAAGAGCTGTACGCTGGAGCATGGCACGTACACATGGCCAAGGCTGACTCTCCATGTGTTCTCTTCTCTCACAGTGACCCTCCTGCTTCCCAGTGCTACCAAGGGAGTTCCTACTCCCACCAATCAAAGTCTGCTCTCTCTCCCTGCTGCATTTAAGTTTTTATCTTAATTGCTGTTTTTATAATGACCTTAAACAGCCTCTGTCTCAAGAGGTAACTCTCCTCAGCCCCACATTCCTGTTTCCACGGATTAGGGGGTTTCTCAGGATACAGATAATGCACTGAGGCCTGGGGCACCCAAACCAGAATCATTAGGCTCTGATTCACTGACCAAAATGTACAACAGAGGAGGCACAAGTGGCAAACTTGTAGGCAGCTGACACTTCCACAGCCACCTCCCTACCCTCTGCCACCGAGCACCTGGTTTGGCTCATGTTCCTGCAGCCTGGAGATAAGGCAGCCACACTCCATGGAGAGCTGCACCCAGCAAACCCCTGAGACTCTGCAGCAGGTTCAGATGCATGTTTTAAAAGCAAGGATTTTACTTACAGAGGTAAATGAATTACACAGTCAGCACCAACCCCTGTGAGAGTTCTGGTATTATTTAAATTTGATGCACTTTCATGTTCCCACATTTTCAGAATCTGATGTGCCACTGGTTGTCATCTTTAGGTTTATCCAGTCAGTGTGTGGGGCAGGTCACACGCTTCAGATCCCCTCAAACTCAGGCAGGTATCACCAAAGGGATTTTACATTGGCTTCACATTTTTCAAACTTTTCTTCACAATCATGAAAGAGAATTTATTTTTACAATAGACTTAGATTCTTCTGCACACTCCTGCCACAAGAAGTAAATGTACTTAAATTCAACAGCCACAAAAGTGCAGAACATACAGGTCCCCTGGGTAATCTTTGGGAGCCATTGCACAATGACATATAGCTGGAAGGCTTCTCTTAAAACACCATCACACTTTAGCATCTCCAGCATGGAAATGGTTGCTGAATTCAACTTGACTTCCTTTTATAATCATTTTATATTAATACCTCTTTGTTCTGTATATTATCTTTAAAATATTGGTAGAGTGTTGCCTCCTGATGGTCTCTCTCTACCCTCTTGCATAACTTTGATCCAACAGCATTTTTCTGACCCTTTAAACACAAGATTCTGACAGAATTAGCTTCAGCTTGGCACTGGGCCATGTGTATCACACAAATGCTGCATAATTGTTAAAGACTGTGACCTGGGTAGGAATATGGTATGTCAGCACCTGCTAATGCCAGGGGTTAACTTCAGGATTTCAGGTGTTCTTGGAAAGAGGAGCTGAGGCTCTGTGCTAGTGCACAGCACTCCCTGATGCTCCAGGCTGCCATCCTGGCAGCTTTCAGAGCGTGCCCGAACCTCAGCATTTGATTTGGCAAGAGCTGACCGTGCACTTGGGAAGACTTAAGTCTTGTGTCTTTCGGGCTTCAGGAAAAAGAAAATGTCACTTTTTTATCTGAGTACAGTCCTTTCAACACATTTCTGCCAAGAGAATTCAACTTCAACTAGGCAAGGTGCTGAGCACTATGGTGGTGAGTGTTGCAGAGCAAGTTCCACAAGTATAACAGAGGGCAATTCATACAGGATTTACTGCAAGTGCAGATGTCAGTAAATGCTTCAACACCAACCCGTGGCTAAATCCTCAAAACTAGAGATAAAGCACCCAACAAGCTGCAAACCAGCATTAGGAGGCAGCTACTGCAAGGGCATTATCTGGGGAAGCAGGCCAGTCCTGCCCTGTCCACAGAAAGGATGCTGTGCACGTTACCTTTTGCCGTGCCGGACGCAGAGGCAGGTCGGGAGGATCTCTTGCGCTGCCCGTTCTCTACAGTGTCCTGTGAAGCGGCAGAATCCTCTGTTCTTGAATTTCTTCTATTTGGAGTTTTAGACTTTTCACAATTCTCTTTTGTCTCATTACTAATAAAGTGGGACAAAATATTTCTGATGAAGTGTAAGAAGAATAATGTTTTTCTATGCAAGTCAGACAAGCTGGAGGATGGCCCGACACAGGTGCCAGTTCCGGACTATTAGCACTGAAGATATGAAACGCTAGAGATACCAGAAGTTCTATCAGATGAAGAATGACCTGAGTAAGCCAGAGTATAGTCCATTTCTATCAAAAATTATCAGAGGATACAGAATTGAGAAGTCCTCAAAGAGAATATTTTCAACATTAGAAGACCAAGAAATTAGATGCATTATAAATTGTCTGCTCTGTTTTCCACAGGTGCCACCATTACTGAAGTCTAGGAAAAGCAAACAGGTTACATTAGAGACTGCTGCAGTATGGGGATACAGAGTTGAAATTGCAGATGAACATCAGGAGGAATTAGGAACTCTTCAGGGAGTATGCCAGCTTTTGTGTTTGCTAAAAGGACTCACTCCATTGATCCAAGTGATTTCTTCACATATTAAAAATTAAGGCTTATTTAAAACTTTCTGCAAGCCTCAGAGCTTGAAGTTAAAATACTTTTTTTTTGTAAGAGAAAGCTTTTTCTGCTATAAAAAATTAATTTTAGGTACTGTGGAAATCTGTGGTTCTTGCCACTGAGACAACAAATGGAGTGCTACAATGTTTTATTAAACTCCTCTTTTACTTTATCACCCTCTAACCTGCAAATTTATCCTGAGCCTTGGGTGTTTTCTCCTTAATGCCAGATAATTTCTGATGACTAAGCAGTTTCCGAAGATTAGGCTAAACTTATCTCCTGTGAATTCAAAGGTAATTAATTAACCAAATAAATTACTGCCCTAATGGAAAAGGAAAAAGAAAGCCCATTTCAGGCGCTTTGGGTGACACTTGCAGGATTTCAAGAAAGGCTGCCTGAATCAGAGACTGGAGTGTCACCCTTCAGGGAAGTCCTGCTTTGAGGGGAGAGACTATGACACATACTTGTAGGGTTAAATAGCAGGTATCTGAAATAAAACAGTTTGTCAATGGAAGGAAAGACAAACATTCTCAAGCAAGGACACACACAGCAGAGGAGACTACAGAGGCACATGGATTGTCTCAGATCCAAAATAAAGATTGGGATCTATTTCCCCATAAGGCAGGACTATGGGCAACCTATAAACTGGATCCCCCAAACAGCTCTAAAACTGTTCTCCTATGGAATGGGCACAGCTGAACCAGCAGTCACCAGCCTCGGAGGAGGGGAGCAAACAGGCATCAGCACCTCGAGTTCAGTTAGTACAGGTAATTTTTACAGATTCTAGTGGCTAAATCCATAGCTGGGATTGTCTCACAGGAACCAATATACCACTTCCCTTGTTTTACAGGAGGAAATCAAGTTAGCCCAAGTGAAAATATTCCTACTGCTTTGTGGGTTGCAAGGTTCCTCTAAGGTTTTAAAGCTTTTTAATAGTTTTAAACTGAGAGTAGGTTTAGATTAGATATTAGGCAGAAATAAGGCACAGGTTGCCCAGAGAAGCTGTGGCTGCCCATTGCTGGAAGTGTTCAAGGCCAGGCTGGATGTGTCTTGGAGCAACCTGGGCTAGTGGAAGGTTTCCCTGCCCACGGCAGGGGGATGGGAGGAGATGAGATTTAGGGACCCTTCCAACCTAAACCATCTGTGATTCTATCAAGGTTTGTCCCATGGGGTATTTAACTCCAGGAGCCCAAAGGTGCCCACTGTATCAGCCATCACTAGACTCAGTTTGCCTGCAAACTTTTCTTCTTTTCTGGTCTTGCTCAGAAAAACATCAATCAGAAAACCCTAGAAAAATGCTTTTGTAGTAATTTGATGTGCTGAGTTTAGGGATGGTCACACAAGAACACTTTATTTGGAGAATCTGCTCAATTATCAAGTGTTCCACCTTCAGCTTTTCAGAAAAATTCTACCCCAAAGAAAACTTGCTGTGAAATTTCAGTTCATCTTCGATACAACTTCAAAGATGCCAGTGCTGTATTCACCAGATGAAGGGAAATACGGTTAAATATTCCATCCAGAGTCATTCCTGATCTGAGGAAGCATCCTGCATCCCCTCTCTTACAAAGGAAGACCCTGCCTCATCTCCTGAGAAGCCCAGTGGGGTGGCTGCACCTCTTGCCCTGGCTTAGGGGTCGTTCCACTGACGAGGGCAGCACCAACACCCGTCAGCTGTGCCAGCACAGTTTAGCCATAAACCTGACCAGGGTCTGTCACTGCAGACTGGGTGTAAGAGCCTGGGGTGTTTAGAATCTTACAGAAGCTGATCTTCAAAACTGTCATTTTCTTCTGACAGGACACAACCATTTGAACTATGGTCTTTTAATTACTGAATGTCTTAACTTGGACAACATGAAGTTTCTACCTGACCTTCTTATCAGATGTTGGCAAAACGCCAACAAGCAAATAGAGAAAAACTGTTGAAAACAATCATGAAGGCAGAAGAAGAACAAACTTTTGAAAGACTTCCTTTCAGAAAACAAAAATTCACATGCTAAACCACAGGCTTTGGGGGGTTTAGTTTTGATTTGTTGTGGAACCACCAAGACCCTTCCAGGACATGAAAAATCCAGGCCTGAAGGGATGAAAGGAAACACTGCCAAAAACACAGACTTGGGAAAAAGTTACTTTATATTCTACATTTCAGCAATGGTGTGGAACCCTCAACTGGCCTGATTTCTTAGCAGGAAAGAAAGGGTATGGCCAAGAAAATGAAAGGCAGTAGAAGTTGAGCAATTGAAGCAAAGAGAAAGGGACTTCCTCCCACGAAAGCTATATCTACTCTGAATCTACACAGACTATCTCCTTACCTTTGACCAGCAACTACTGCAGCATTTGTCTCAAGTTCTACAAGAGAAAAAGATAATTTTAAAGTCTGCTGTAGCAGTACATACCTGCTGACAAGGCATGACTAGCTCACATTTTTCTATTAGGTATTAGGTCTGAAGAATAAAATTCTCTCAAAGCAAAGCAAGTTAATATATCAAACACCATATTGGCCAAGTCTGATTACAGCCTGCACTACCTCAAGACAGGCAAAAGTTAAAATCCTGCAGAAAAAAAAATGTAGAGAAACTCCCTGACAAGGGCTACACTTTTCTCCTTTTTTTTAACTTCCATTTTAGACAGTTCATTTCTTCTGAAACTCCTAGGTTTTATTAGTTTTAAACTAATTAAAAAATACCCATCTGGCTCTATTATGTAAATTTCCCTTAACCCAACTGTCTCTCAGCAGTATCTTCTAATGCAGACGAAGACAAATTTATGAAGTCCAATTACACTTGTACAGAATTGGAGAAAATCTCAGGGGAGATGTTATGAAGAGAAGTCTGACCTGCCTTCTCTCTCTCTCACAGTGATTTTACACATACAGGTCAGGTTTGCTCTGGAGTGTTCACCTCAACAAACACCTTTCCTTTCCAGCATATAAAATGTCAAGTCTTTTTACTGTCCATATTTTAATTCTCCTCATATCCACCATATTCTCTGTTGAAAGGGAGGATCTACACCTAAACAGAGCCCTTCTCATGAGAAACTGCCACAGATATTGGGATTACCACAGATTAACTCCCTGTGGTTTGTCACGCTGCCCACAGTGAGCTCCAGCTCAGTCCCTCCCAGTCAGACCTCGGGGACAGTGGGGCACAAACTGGGGCTTTGCCTTTGAGATCAATTTAGCACCCAAAGTTTGCTAGAGCATACATAAAGAATAAAGGTATAAAAAAAGAAAATGGGTAATATCTGTCCTCTTAGGGTAAACCTGCAGTGTTGAAGCATCAGCCTCTTCAGTGTAAATGGATATAGCACCATCTGGGAAAAACAGATGTCTTGGGAGCAAAGGAAGAAGAGACTAAGCGACATAAGGAAAGAATTACCTTTCTTCTTATCCAAAATTTGAACAGGGAGAATATCCAGTGGCAAAAAATGGAGGGAATCAGTGCTTACTCCCATCAGGAACTCTACAATACAGCCAGAGCAGCACTGGGCAACGTGTCAGATGTGAATCAACAGGGGGTATGGTGGAAGTACAAAGAAAACAATTTAGCACAATTTTTACCTTCTGAAAACTCTACTTCTAATCAGATTAGAGATGGCAAATCGATGGAGAGTGGCACTCCCCATAAGCAAGCCCACATCCATCTGTTTTCCCTACTCGTCTCGGGAATTACTTTTTTAAAACTCCTAGAAATTGATGGTGAGACACCATGATAATAGATGGCAACACCAAAAAGTCATCTGCTGGGGCTCCATCTTGAAACAAACACTGCTGAGGGGGCATTAAAAGATGAACAGAAAAAAAAAGGTTACAACTCTAAAACTGTCATTGTTACAAATCCATTCCCTCCAGTTGATCACTGAGTATCTAAAAACTTCCCTAGTGATTTTTTGTTGTTTTACTTGATCCCATGCTGAATCTCCTACAAGGATTTGGAGACTTCTAAAGCACAAGGTATCTAGCAAAGAAAAACAATCCCAAAAGCACAAATAATAATAAACCCCCCACCAAAGCCCCAAACTACCCAGCATGTTAGTGACCACCGAACATGCATTCAAATGAATGCATTTTCAGTTCCAAACATAAAGGGTTTAGTTCACCTCTATTCTGGTTTTCCAAAGGAAGATTTACCTGTTCTTTGAACAGTACTTTCTGATGTTGCAATTGAACTTTTTTTCTGTGTTAAATGTTGAGAGGATGCTAGAATAAAAGTGGAGGGAAAAAGTATTATTGTCAAAGGGAGTCAAAGAAATTCCTGTGGTGCGATCGGGCCACTGGTACAACATTCTCTATCTCCCAGCTGACTGCATTTTGGAATTTAGAAATGTGATATTTGAACTTGCCCTCCACTTCCCCCCCCACCACACACACCTCCCCGTTTTAAAACAAACTTTGGCAAAACTTTCCCCAGCAAGTTTTCTCAAAGTAGAATAAGTGATGAAATTGAGTTTATAAACCGCACTTTTAAAGGTAACGATTTTTCAGCAGACTGAAAAATTAAAGGAAGTCCTAGAAGTTCAATAGTTTCTCATTTTAATGCTCATTTCAACAGAAGTTCTGGGGGAAAATGGCATCTTTGTTAACGAATCAATGCCCTCTCTCTTTCAATTAAAGTGCAAAATATGCTTCAGAGTCACCCTTGGAGTCCTTTGGCAAAAAGATGGTGCAGCTTCACATTTCTTAGTTTGCCAAGTAAAAAAGTAAGATGGAAAAATAATTTTTGCTGCACTAATGCTTTCTAGTTAATGTGCTAATAAACTTATGGAGAACAGGAAGACAAAAAGTTAAACAATCCTGTTTAAACAAACAATAAACACTTCCATTTTTCTCCTAAAAAACCAGAATTCCTTCTGTGAAGCTCAAAGTCTTCATTTTTCAGTGGCATACAGCTAAAACATCCAATAGTCACAGGGAAAGTCACACTCAGGCTGAATCTCTCAGTTCCCTTGACTTCTGTGGATTTTATTTTCATGATTTTATCTTCTGTGTCTAATTCATGTTGTAAAGCAGAACAGACACTCAGCTCACTTCAGGAGTGATGGGTTTATTTTCACACCATCTTCAATAGATTAAAAATGGTATCAAGAAATAGCAAACGTCATATATAAAGTCAGCCAGATGTTCAAATTAAAATAACATATGAGAAAAGAGCTCATACGTGAAGGTATTTTATGTTTTTATATTAGATAAAATTCTAATCACTTTTTCATGAACTTGTCTGAAATGAGCATTTAAGTTATTCCCTAGACAAATGAGGACTTGGTATGGGTTTGATTTTTTTTTTCCTCTTCTGGAGCTTATTCAATTATTTCCCTAGAGGATTAAGGTTATTCAAAGAGGGAATTAATTCAAAATGAATTCAAAATATCCTAATTAAATCAAGAAACTGAAATAATTTTTAAAAGTCTCTGGCAAGACCAAAGCAGAGTACCCGTGTATCTACCAGTATAGAAGACACCTTAAATATTTGTCATTACTGATGCATCCACGTTTTCTCCCTGCTTCCAACATTTACATGAAGTTACCCCTCGTTCTTGCATCATATGTTCATGACAAATACCCCACTCAAGCAGTAAATGGAAACTGAAATAAAACTTCTGGACCTCGAACCGTGGTGAGTGCCAGCCCGCGTACCCCTCAGACATCAGAAACAAAACAGTGTCAGCCTCGGCTGCAGCGCCTCCGTTTCTGACGTTCGTGGGAAGCGGCACGTGGGGATTTACAGCAGCACCCCCACTCCTTCCCTTGCGCAGGCAGCGCTGCACTTACCTGCGCTCTGCAGCAGCTCCGGGGGTGCTCCTGCCTTCTCCTCCGCCCCGGCACCCCCGGGGGGCTCGGCCGGGGCCCCGCCCTGGGCGCTGCTGGGGCCGGGGGGCTCCGGGGCTGCCGGGGGGGCTCCAGCCGGGAGCGCAGCGGGGGCAGGAGTGCTCGTGGGTGGGCTCGGGGACGTGGAGGCAGGAGCAGGAGCCGTGGGGCTGAGGCTCGAGCTGCCTGACCCAGAAGTGCTCTGTTTTGTAAGACTGGGTGCTGGAGGGGTCACAGTTTTGTTTTCTAGTTCTGCTGGTGGTTGCTCTGTTCCTGAACTATTTGGAACTGATGTTTCCAGTCCCTGACCTTCTGCTTCTCCGTCCAAAGCGTACTGCTCTTCCCCTTTCTCCAGGGAGCCAGTGACTTTCTTGCATGCTTTAGTGAGCAAGAGTTGGCCAATCTTGTCTACTTTTCCCTTTCCCTTGGTCGATGAAACAGGGCTGCGTCTGTTCCCAGACCCCGGGCTGCTCGTAAGCAGAGGTGAAACAACAGGGCCTGACTGAGCTGCTGGCACAGAGCTCTGGTCACCCGACCCACCACCTTGGGAAGTCTCCTCCGGACTGAAGTCCTTGACTTGCTGAGCAGGAAGGTGTGAAGCAACACTGGAAGAAGCTGTAGCAGAAGATGGCAGCTGAACAGGAGATGCCAAGGGGTTCAGAACCAGTGACCTGCTGGTGGGAATACTGGACACAGGACTGCTGGATGATGTGCTGGGAGGAGTGGGCCCCGAGGAGAACTTGATACTCTGTGGGATATGCAGGGGACCAACAACTGCGACCGACTGGGGCATCAGGCTGGAGTTAGAAGTCATGGGGGCTGCTGGAATTGTGCTGGACTGAGAACCCTTCATGACCTGAATTATTGAGGATGAGTTTATAAAAACAGGTGTAATGAACTGCGGCCGGGCATTGGACTGAACCGCTGACTGTCCCTCTGAAACCATCCCTTTGCTCCCCACGTTGGGCATTGTGACAACAGTGGACACTAATGCAGGTTGCAAGTGAGATGGCAATGGAGCTGATGTATTAGCAGCAGATGTAATAGGGTTGGAAGTCACAAAAACTGTTATCTGGTTGGGGGCTAAAGGACCTGAAATAGAAGAAGAGCTGACAGGCCTCTGCATTACTGGTGGAACACTCTGTGCCATGCTTGAGTTTACTTCTCCCAGTTCCTGGAGCCCTGGATTTGGACAGGGCTCATTATTTTGAGGCATGTTAAGTGAATTGGAGGGTTCCTTGCTCAAGGATGAATCCTGCAATGGTGGAAGGACAGCTATCTTCTTTAGCTCCTCACCAGTGGTGACTATCGGTGCCATTTCAAGACCAGTCAGCCCAGGGGGCTTAATGGTTACATTAGGAGCTCCAGAATTGTCAAGAAGTTGACTTAAAGAAGTTGGGGCCTCCCTCATAGCTGGAGATACCATGGGTTTACCTTCCTCCATGACTGGAAGCTTGCTAGTGTCTAAGCCTTGCCCATCTTTTTTTGACTGTTCTTCTGGAATCAACACTTTCATTTCTGGAGTAGGGGTAGCTTTGAGTTCAATACTGGGCTGGTCTTTGTTGCCTTGGACACCTTGTGCACTTTGGCTCTCGGTATCTTGAGGCACACTAAGGGTCTCTTTATTGTCTTCAGGAATGCCAGTCACAGCAGGTACAGAAATTGCAGGACTCTGGTTACTCTGCATGGGATTATTTTGGAAACTTGTAGTCACAGGTGTTGACAAAGAAGAGGGACCAGCCATCATATTTCTCTGTAATTCCATGTTCTGCAAGAGAGGTGGGTTCTGTTGAGTTGTCAATGATAATTTAGCTGCTTTTGAATTCTGTCTGCCAGGGCTTGGCGTAGTTTTCCTACTGGATCCAGGACTGGACCTTCGACTATTGCTTGGACTTGCTCTCTTTGTTCCTCCAGTGTTGGTTTGTTTGCCTGAATTAATGACCACACCTTCCAATTTGTGTGACTGTGAGGCAGTAAAATTAGACTGATTGTTAATTGTGAGATTTGATGGGGCCTGTCCAATGGCCTTTAAAGTAGTGGGATTCAGACCCTGCTGATCAAATCCTCTATTGAGATTAGGCCTGGGAGGTAAAGGAATATTGATCTGGGGAGGGAACAGGCCAGCTATAGAAGCATTGAGCCTCTCTGGAGACAAGCTTATTTCTGAGGGTTCTGTGCTGGGGGGACGGTTATTAGGAGTCTGAGGATAGTATGGCCTTGGGCTTGCTCTGTTTGGGGTTTTAGGCCTTGAAGTTTGTGATGGGGCAGCAACATTTGGAAAATGGTGTGTGAGAGCACTAGGCAGAGAACTAGACTGCTGCTGGGGACTTGCACCTTGGGCAGCTGAAAGTGGGGATGGTCCAGGCTTGGGTCCTGTCATCATTAATTGGTTCTGTGAAACTACTAAATGAGATGTCAAATTATTCTGAGCTCCTGACGTTGGGGGGGCCTCGGCCCCACCTCCTTCTGGAAGCGAGGATACTGATGAAACCTCTCTGAGGGGTGAGCTGGAGGGATTCTGTACATTATCCGGATAAACCATTTTTCTTGCATTATTTCCCAGAGGAGGATTTCCCGACAAGGCAATTCTTTGCTTATCAGGAGATGGAGGCACTGATCCAGACCCCTGAAGGTTCACCATTACTGGCATGTTCCCACTCTGCTGCATCGGCATTCGCTGAGCATCTGGGTTCAAGGGCCCTCTGGGTGGGTGAACTCCCTGTGGTCCAGGCAGCCGGACTGATTTGGGATCCTGCTGCATCATCAGCATCATCATCATCTGCTGCTGCTGCTGCGGTGTCTGTGGGGGTGCCTGGGCCGGCTGTGCTGTTGGCTGGGGTTGCTGCTGGGGCTGGGGCTGGGCCTGCTGTGTGTGAGGCATGAGCTGAGGTGGCATCTGCTGAAGCGGCCTTTGCTCCCCGGGCTGAGATGGATAACCTAAGACAACAGGATGACACATTCATTAAAACCAACCAAAGATCAGGAGAAGCAGAATTTCAGTAACAAACAGGACTGGATAGAAAGTACAGTGTCCAGCCTGTTTATCTTGGGTGAGAGCCACATGAACAGAACAGGCCATGCACACAAGGCCAAAGATTTTACTTAATTCATAAAAATATTTTTACTTAATGTATGACATGTGGGATTTAACTGGAGATCTCTTAGTGTATTGTATCAGCTATTAACCCAGATTCATGCCACCTGAAAAGTCTCTGCAACAGCCCATGGGCTTGATTTCACTGACATATGCAGAATTGGACTTTCACTAATTAATACTCCTTAAAACAAACTCCAGAGTTTGACAGCCCCCAAGGGTCATGGGCCAGTATATCTGCTACAGACCTGATATTTTCTGGTGTACAAAGTAGAATCTGACATGTATTACTTGGCCAAAAACAGTGTTAAGAATCACTTGTGTGGGTTATAACAGAAATCCTATTGCAGGTGTTAGATTTAATCTTCTCTATGTGCAAAGAATAATTTCAACTACAACCCCTATTTATTCTGAAAAATCGGTTATTGGTTTATGCTAAATTTTTAAGACATCAGTCTGTGCTAGAGCTAGAAATACCAACTTTTTTTTTATCAATTATGTTATTGCTGAATAACTGCAGGATTCAGTATGATACCTGCAAGATGATACATGAGAACCTGGCCACCTCTTCATTTTGAGCTAATTCAAAGAAAACACTTAAACAATGGTACCAATTACTTACTAGGAGGAAAAAAGGTTTAAACTTGAATATGCAATAGCACAAATAAAACAGAACAGTGTTAAAAGATCAGTTAAAAGCTCTCCTATAGTTATTACGTTCAGATAATCCACAGAAAAGTTCTACTACCTGGCGGCCTACTTGCAAAATCTGAGAGTTTAGGGCCTGATTTATCTAAATTCATTCCTTGGTCTCCAGACATCGAAGACTGATCACTCTCCTCCAGGCCAGCTGGACGTGGTTCTGAAGAACTGAAAGAAAAATAACTGCAATTAAGATCCAGTTAAATTGGTGTTTGATTTCTGCTTCTATACCTAAGTACTCAATTAATTCCTAGCAGTTCCCACAGACCTGGAATAACCCACTAAAATGCCTCTGATGTAACAGGCCAAACTGGAACACAGATCCCAAGCCTGTGTATACACCCTCCTCTGCCTAAAATATTACAGCAAAGGAAACAAATTGCCTGGTGCTCTACTGATCTTAAAACGTTTATTTCTACCTTGAATCTTAGTTTCATAACTAAGAGAATGCCTATGGATATTCCAAATAATATAGATACATATTTATTCCAGCCAAACAGGCTGGAATGACATCTGTATAGATAAGCAAGTACTATGAGTAGATGCATTTTAAGTTCATTTTAAAGGTAGCACCATTTCTTCCAGAAGTTACTTGCTCGGGTATCAGACACCTCCGATACCATCCCAGCAAAACTGCACTGACATGTCAGACATTCCATGACCCTCCAGAGCACAGCACAGGCCTCTGTGTGGTAGAGGCTCCGTAAGTGATCCCAGACTGGTCTGGCTTGGAAGGGACCTTAAAGCTCATCATTTCCCACCCCCTGCCATGGGCAGGGACACCTTCCACTAGCCCAGGGTGTTTCAAGTCCCATCCAACCTGGCCTTGGACATTTCCAGGGATGGGGCAGCCACAGCTGCTCTGGGCAACCTGTGCCAGGGCCTGCCCACCCTCACAGGGAAGATTCTTCCCAATATTCCACCTAACCCTGTCCTCTGGCAGTGGGAAGACATCCCCCCTTGTCCTGTCCCTCCATCCCTTGTCCCAGGTGCCTCTCCAGCTCTCCTGGAGCCCCTTTAGGCCCTGGAAGGGGCTCTCCCTGGATCCTTCTTTTCTCCAGGTGAACCCCCCCAGCTCTCCCAGCCTGGCTCTGGAGCAGAGGGGCTCCAGCCCTCGGACACACATCCTCCTCTGGACTCGCTCCAACAGCCTCACATCCTTCTCGTGCCCCAGAGCTGGAGGCAGCTCTGCAGGTGGGGTCTCCCCTGAGCAGAGCAGAGGGGCAGAATCCCTCACTGACCTGCTGCCCACGCTGTGGGATGAGCCCAGGACACAGGGGGTTCTGGGCTGTTAGTGCACATTGCTCGGTCACATTCAGTTCTTCATCCCCCAGCACTCCCAAGTCCTTTTCTGGGGTATCTGATGCTCCAGGAGACTCTCTAAGACAATTTAAAACTGCTTGGACTTAGTCCCCAATACTTCCACTGAAACAAGACAGTTCTTGCAGATTTAGAAAAAAACAAAATGTCTATAACTATCAATATGGTCAGAACAGGTAAAATAAAGAGGGACGAAGAGTAGAAGACATTAACTGCTTATTCATCTGCAGGAATGTAAGAACATTATGGGGAGATCTACATAAGAAAAGCTCTAAGCTAAAATAAAAGACATCAAAGTGAGTCCAGTGCCAACAAAGAGGCAGAGTCACGCAGAAATGCCATGGAAAAAGACACTTCCAGCAAAACAAGAATGTGATGTATGTAAGGGTGGAGAGATCCATCCTATTTAATTTGAGAGTAATAGTTTATGGCATCTGTAGAGCTGTCAAGGAGAGACCCAGGCCACTCCTAACGTTCTATCAGCTACCTAATCAACATTCAAAAAGCAGCGTGTGATTGGAAATCCCTGGGCTTCAGGGGTCACAACTGGGAACAACATAAACCAAGAGGGATGAAAGGTGAGGAATGGGACAAACAGAGCTGTTCCCAGCACTGCTGCTGAGGGCAAGGACTGCCAAGGAAAGCATTTGGAGTGAAACCCCGTGTCTAAGCCAGCACACCACCAATTTCTGCGAGGCAGGTGGTGTAGACTTACGTGCCTCCACCAATGAATTGATGAAAACTGGCAAAATGCGTAGATATGCCTCAGAGTATTATATTAACAGCCACAAATGAACAAAAAATTCTGGCAGGAAAATTACTCAGAGGAGCTGCAGCCTTTGGAGCATGTACCAGCCATGAGAACTGAAAGAACTGCCTAAAACTGTGAATACAATCTCAAATTTGCAATTTTGCTATTTATGATTTATTTATAATGGTGGGAGATTAAAAATGCAACAGTTAAAGACCAGCTAAAAGTTGATACAGAGCACCACTGCACAGGCAAGTTTAACCTTGAAAACAATACTGGTGCAAGATGGATCCTTAGCAAATACCTCCTGCCAGATGGATCTGATCAGGCAGCTGTGCAAACCCTGCAAAACAGACCTGAAGTTGGTTTGCTCACAAAGAAGAGCAGTTGAGGTTGGGGAGACTGCTGCTGTCATTGCTGGAAAAGTTAAACATCATTTGAATGTAGCTGAAATTCACTGGGCATGTTTAGCAACCACCACTCATCAGCCCCCCTCCCCCAATTATGAATATTAATAACAAGATGAGGTTTGTGTGAGAGGGACAAAATATTCTCTATTTATTCTTCTTTTCTGTATCTCTTGATGTAAAAAAATATAAAAAGGTAACTGCACATCAGGTAGTCTGGATTGTCATCAGCAAACCCTCTGCTCACCAGCTGCATTCTCAAGTACAACCTTCAGTTACAAAATCCTTGTCAGAGCAGAGAGAGAACCCCGAGAAAACCCAAACAAAATCAACTAAACCACAAAAGGCAGAAGCTGCTGTAACAAAGCGAGCAAACGTAAAATGACAGTACAGATGTGGCAGAGCCAGCCTTGCTGGCTCAGTCCAGTGCTCTGCAAGAGCTCCTGTGACACAGAAAGGCTCGTCCTCTGCTGCTGAGTGAGGGCCATTTCCCAGAGCACTGGGGTGTCACCCCCAGCCCTGCGGTGAAACGCTCCAGTCTGGTTGGGAAAAGCCTCTTTGTGCTGCTGGGCTGTCCCCACCTGCTCTGGGCCCTGCACATCCAAAAACCAGCAGTGGCCTTACCCAGTGGGTTAGTTCTGCTCTAGCAGCACACAGGATGTTTGTGGCCTGCGCACAGGGGAACATTAAACAGCTGCTTGTTTGTGCACGGATTGAACAGAATCAACCAACGCGTTTGATCCGCAACCCCATTTCATCCAGCATCTCGGGCCTCAGTTTGCATCCCATCACCTACAGTCTTCGGGTTCAGAACAAACATGCAAACACTTTTAAACAACCTACTTCTCCAAAATGTCCTGGGTTTCATTCCAATGCCAAGCTGCTCAATTAAGCAAACCTTAAAAGTATTTTAGACTCAGCTGAATAAACTTTTTCAATAGCTTATCATTTACCCTATTTACATTCCAATATGCTCAGTCTGCAATTCAGATTACTAATGGTACTTTTATTACTTCTCAGAAATTATTTCTTTTTAATGTGTTTATCAAATTGGCTGCATTTCCACACAAGGTTTGCTGCCCTGAATTATAAAATTTCTGAGGAAGAATGACAGAGAGGATGCTGAAAAGCGTCATATTTGCTTCTGATGCCATAGAAAGTGATCCAAATCAGATTTAAAAGAATCAGCAAATCCAAGGCAGGAAAATGCTGAGCTTGCCTAACAATGCAAGGGAAGCCAAGAGCGAGGGAAGCAGGAAGGTACTGCAGCCAGCTTCCACTGCAGTCACCCTCCTTTTGCTGGAGATTAATCTCAGAAACATTTGGGAGAACAGCTCCCTTTTGAATGCTTCTGCACGGATATAGTCCATTTAGAACCAAAATGCTAATCTGTATCAGATCAACATTCTGCAATGGTAGAGAACATGAGCTGAAAATTTAAGTAATAGAGTAAGTACAAAGTGGTATTTCCTTTTTTAATTACACTGAAATCTGATTCAGAGCCTTATTTAGGAGCTAGAATTGAGTTGTCATAGTTCAATAGAAAAGCTGCAGTTTAGGCTTCTCCTTTTGAGAAAACTTTTTAATAAGCAAATTGTCTTGTGGGGTTCTGTAAGCTCAGGAGAGAATTTTATAGATCCTTTTACTGATATTCCCAGGCCACACTGAGGCTGGGTGCTCATCAGTAAGGCCAATGAAAACAAAATTCTAACAAAGGTTTTTTTAATGATGAATGGATTTTCTTTTCAGAAGACAATGCCAACTCCTCTGCTTCCTCTGAATCCTCTGTCACTTCCATGGCAAGGCTCTTGCTATGCAGTGGTTATTTTTATTTTATTGGAATCTATCTGGACTGGAGGAGCTCGTGTCTGGGATATGGTTTCCAAGTCACCCCGAAGCTGCAGACCAGCCCCACGCTGGCCCCTTGATTCTGGCCAAGTTAAATTTACCCAGCTTTCCACAGCTGTGTCCTCCTCACACCATGACTGATACAACTACACAGCAGGTATCTGAAAAGCTTTTTTCACAGCCTATTCAATTAGCATACTTTGCTTTACCTTACAGCATTTCTGCATTTTATTTTTGTACTAGTTAGGCCAATTAATCATTGTCACAAAAGATCACTTGCTATAGATGATGTGAGTTGTTTCAGTCCAGAATTAAAATGTTCATGAGATTATTAATTCCATCTTCATGAAGGAATCTTGACACTGTGCAGAAAATGCAGGTTGGGGCTACACACTGAATGACCAAGGGAAAAATTAAAATATTAAGCAGTTGCTCAGTACTTCATGCCATCTTCTCTTTGCACTGAACTGTTTATGTGTCCCTGGGAAAGGCTGCACAAACTTCAGCTGAGAGACATTAACGATCACTCAAAGGAGTGGCACTGGTGGAGTCAGAGCCACATTAGGAGCTTAATGTGTCATTGCTACCTTTTTGTTTTGTTTTAAGAATTTAATTTTGATCTTTGGATATTCCTGAGTTATAATTTTATGTGCTGAGTTTTTCCATTTTTCCTAAAGCAAACTGAAAACAATACCCAGAAGATCCATCAGGTGGATTCCTGTCAGTGCCCCTGGGGCTTATCTGCAGCATCAGGATAACTAGATATAGTGTATCTGCCTTCATTTAAGATGAATAATGGGACAGCAACAGCATCTACCCTGTGCTGGTGTGAGCAGACTGACAATGGCAAACGGTTACAGGACAGCTGGCCAAGGAAGAATGTACTGGCCAAAAGGGAAAGAAGAGATTCTGCAATCTTGTATTTCCACTAAACAGGTACATTCATTCATTATCTTCCAATATTATCCATTTGCCTCCTCCCACTCAAGAATTGTGGGGTCTTTTTCCTTCTTAATCTCTCCTAGGCCAGGAGGACCAGCACTGCTTGGACTCATTAACCTCATACCCAGAAAGTACCAGGTTCTTCCCTCTAAATTCTGGCTGCAGCTTCAACTAAGGGAGAAGTCCATCTCAATTCCTGGTGGAAATGTGTCAGGATATGTATATAACTCAGGAAATAATCCCCCAAAATCTCTACTGCACATGTTTATGGAAGCTTCTAATTCTTCTGAAAGTACTTCTTTGATTGTGGCTGTCAGACTGCTCAAAAAAGGCAGCCTCCTCTTCCAAGGGCTGTGGTACCACGGGCCACATGCTAAACTTCCTTCACCTAGTAAAGGTAAGGAACAATGCTGGTATAATTGGGTTTATAACTGAGTTTGGATATTTGCTTGTTATTTTTAATCTTGAACAAACATTCCAGTGACAGACTCTTGAGAGTAACTCTTGCAAGAAACTGCTACAACATGAATTAATACAGGTCCTTTCTCACCCGTAACTTGCTGATAAAATACTGACAAGGTGCCTGTGGAGCTTCCCCACGCCCCTTATAAAAAACACTGTAATATTAAACCTACGTTGTTTGTTCTAGCTGTTGATTATTTTTCTTCTTCCTTGGAGGCTTCTTCTTCTTTGGCTTGTTGGGATTCTGATTATTTTGTTTGTTGTTCACACCAAAGTGTCCTGCTGATATATCACTTTGGAGAAGGTTAACCAAGAGTGGACTTGTGAGAGTCACATCTTTATTGACAGGAAACACAGGATTCTGCCCACAGGAAACCTGATTCCCATTTGGTGTTCCACTAAACCCTGGGTTGAAAGGCAGCCCGTGGCCAGAGAAATGACTCCCCGAAGCACTGTTTCCTTGCATTCCCTGCATATGAGAAGGCACCATGTTTGGCTGCTGCACAGGAACCTCAGGTAACATCTGTGTCAAGTTCACATCGTTGTTTGTTGTAGGAGTAGTGTCCCCGAGCTGCTGAGATATGTGAGGACCAGGTCCAGTGGGTCTTAAAACTTGTCCTTGAATTCCCATCACCTGAGAAGGATTCCCATTCACGGGGCCTTGCTGTGCCATCATCTGCCCAGTGAACTGCACCATGTTTCCTTGCATGTTTGGCGTTGGTCCTCTCATCAGTTGAGCTGGCCCCGTCATAACATTGGACTGGTTCTGAGTATTAAAAGGCTGTTTATTTCCTTGCATCTGAGTGCTCATCATCTGCTCCATCATCGAGTTTTGCTGTAGCAAGACCTGGCCCTGAGGTCCCATCATCTGATTGTGTGTGGACATCATCTGCTGTCCCTGCTGAGGAATCATCTGTTTAGGTGGGGTCATCCTTTGGGGAGAGGGACCAAGATTTTGGTTTTGTGGCGTCACCATCATTTGGCCTTGCGGCATGAGCTGAGTTCGCGAAAGTAGCATCTGGTTTTGAGGGTTCAGTGATCCCTGAGCATGAATGTTCACCATCTGTCCTTGAGAGGACACAATTTGCTGATGCATCCCCATAAGCTGGGACTGTGGTCCTTGCTGAGGCTGTCCCTGCATGTTGCCCATGTTAACCTGTGGCACCCCAGTAGCACCAGCCTGCTGGTTGTTCATATTTCCGTGAAGTCCCATGAGATTGGTCTGCATCATATTTGGTGGGCCATGTGCTGCTTGCATCTGAGTTTGAGGAGGTCCAGATCCTTGGCCACCTTAGGAAATAAAAAGAAAACACCAGTAAGAGACTAATTGGGGTAAGAATTTTCATATCTTTTGATGCTGAGAAAGTACTCCAGAATTGTTTTCCTCCATTTTCCAAGGAATTGAAATATCTCACATATTTGCAGTTCTGGAATGTGGTATTTGATGCTATAGATACATGTTGGTTGCCAAAACAGAACATCATACATCTCAAAATAAACACTTGTGTACTGGGAGTTCCCTTGTACCCCCACTGCAGGGGACAGAACAGGAACTTAATTTCAGTTGTTATCTGTACCTAACTTTGAAAGTCTTCTATAATGTCAATAGAGTAATTCCTACCCAAAATAAGCTCCAAACCTTGAGGTTACTTTATAATGGGTTAAAAAATAAATGCATGTGGAATATTGATGAAATGACATTATCAGGATTTCCATAATCCAGACAAAAGACTGAATTGTTAAATGGAGACATTTGTGAACTAAACATTTCATTTTCACACTGTAAGCAGACTTACAAAGCTTTCTAAGGAACTAATAAATAACTTTTTCAAAGCAGAACAAGATAATTTTGTTATTGTGCTTCTATGATAATTATACTTTTTTTTTCTGGACAAGAAATTCCTTTTGTGTTGTATCTTTATTACCCCTTGCCTTCAAATTTGCTAGTTTCGTTCAACTTCTTAACAGCTACTACTGGAGCCCAGGACCACATTCCTCATCAGTAATAGCTGGGTTGTGTGAGAACATACAGCAGCCTCATGCTTTGCTTTTCTTCATCCAGCAACAAACACAGAATGCTGCTGCAGCCCCAGCCAGCAACTCCCTGTTGATGGCAGGAGTTTCTGGTTTGGGATCTGTATGACTCAGGTAAAGGCAGCCCGTGCTCTGAAAGGACAAAGCCGAGGAACACCCATTGCGGTCAGACCTGCGTGCTGCACGTTCTGGCTGGTTTGCAGCTGCGGTGCTCCACTGTTCCCTGCTGTTCCTGGCGCTGTGGAAGGCACCTGCCCTTGCAGGAAGTTCTGGTTAGCCTGGCCTGCAGGGAACCCTGGCGGGAGACGCTTGGGCATTCCTGAACAGGAGAATTTTCTTATTAGTAAATATGGAAAACAGAAAGAAATAAAAAAGAGGAAAAATCTATCATTGGAGAACACCTTTGAGTCCGTGCTGTCATGTTACAGGTTTAGGCAGAAAGCATTTTTTGCCAATACACAAAACCCACTAAAGACATTTATAGTTATAGACCTGTGCAATAATTCTGCCCAACAAATTACTATGACTCATTTCAGTACATAATTGAAGTACAAAACTTACCACACAGAGGAGGTGAAAGGTCCATATTTGACTTTTAGGAACTAGAAATTAAAGTAATGTAGTTGTGCTGGTTTCTGCTGCACTTCATCTCAACTCTTAGTAGGCCTTTAACTTACTCCATGTACACAAACAACTGGCATTTTTGTTACAGTGGTGTGCTCCTCTCAACAACTCTGACACAGGCACACCAGGCACACATTCCCTATCAGTGCTGCTGTGTGCACACACACTCAAAAGATCTTCTCAACCCAGAATGGGCTGAGGAACCTCAAGGTTCAGCATGTCCAGACCTGTTATTCCTGCTGCAAGAGCAAGGAATTCTGTCAGGCCCGACTCTGGCACAACACTCACACTTTGGCATATCAAAACATCACTGCTGCCCTGGAACACAGAGAAAATCTTCCCTCTACCTGCCAACATCAGCAGCAGCATGGATGGATTTCATAGAACCCACTTCTTTTTACCTCACTGTCAAACAGGTAACACCTGAGACTTAGAACCAGCCCTGCCCCTCTCCTTCCCACCCAGGGCCAGAATGTGACTTCGGTTCCCTCCACTCACAGCTTTCTTGCACTCTTAATTGTGCTGCTTGTGTTAATAATCTGGTCTTAGGTTTATAATTAATATTTCAAAGTAATCAAGTCTACAGGTCAAACAGCAAGATACATCTGCAAATATGGAACACAGACTTCTTGAAACACCACATCACTGGACTCTAGTTTTAGTTCTGCTCAGCTTTTAGGGAGGTTTTGCACATAGGAACACTTGAACTGAGAAAAAAGGAGAGTGTTGGTTTTGCCCTATTCAAAATCTGATTTAAATTCTAATTTGCTAAATTAACTGTGTGAAATGGAAAGTGTCTGAATGCATTCATCTACACCAAACCTTTAAATGCAAGCAGGAAAAAAATCTGTAATTACAACTTAGTTAACATAATGCAAGATGGCTTAAAACCAGGAAGATCTATAATTACAACTTAATTAACATATAATTTGCAGAAAAGAATAAGCATACACAGAAGTGAGGCAAAAATCTCAGCAAGTGGGAGCAATACAGCTTTGCTGAAACCAAAGAATCCTGTCTTTTTATATCAGCTGAGGATACAGCTCACAGCAGGATTGCTAATTTAAGCAATAAGATCTACAGTGAGGCCACACAGAGTATCTTAACGGTTTATTTGCAGTGTCATTTTTAACTCAAATAAAGTAGGGCTGTGTTTGTAGTAGAAGGAAGGAGAATGCAAAGATTATATTGCCTAGAGGTCATGGCTATGATTCCTGATGGGGATATATGGCTGGTGAGGCAAAACTGTAGGGAAATATAACAACAATAAACAATTAATAACTTCTTCCAGATGGAGACAAGACAAGAAACACCAAGTACAGGGCATTGGCAGGTCCTAAAAGGAGAACCTTAAAACTAAGACAATTCACCTGAAATCAAACGAGACCTATGGCACAAAGAGTGCAAACAAGAAGCTTGTCCCGATCAGCACACCAAGAAACAGCTGTTCCTTACAGGTTTGGGGCAGATTTCAGACATAGAGCATGAGAATGCAAGAGACTGGAACATATTTATGTATGTGTAGGTGGACAAAGAATAAGTACACAAAGAAATTATTTCAATGGCTTAAGCAAGAGCTTGTGTATGGGGCCTGGGAGCAGGCAGCCAAGAGAAAGGTGAACAAATGAGTGAGCAGAGAGAAGCACGGTAAGTCTGCACAGAACTACAAGAGGCTCAAGGGGGAAAAAACCCACAGAAGAGATTCTGGGACCAAACAAAGAAATTCCTTCACTGTTAGAGAAGAACTCTAGAATTAGTAAGGAAAAGATGCGAGTACGTTGGTTTGAAGAGAAAACTAAAGACAACACAGCCAAAGGAGAAGTTAAAACATCCTTTAACCTCCTAATTTCTGAGCAGGGAGTATAACAGTATGGCAATAATAGCTCTTTCCTCTTTAAATGGGAAGAAACTGATGACAAATAAAGACAGGGTCAAGAAGAGACATCCAAGCTTAGAAAGGATGCAAAACAACACCTTAGTTCTGTAGTAGAATATGTAAATGGTGACAGAGGAAGCTGAAGAGAGAAAGAAAATGTTTGGTTGCTTCCATTACACTCACTCTCAAAAAAAAAAAAAAAAATCCTTCCCCTTGCCCTAAAAAAGAACAACACCAAAACAAAACAAAACCAAACCCCTCCACCATCTCTGAAACATCCTAAGCTTGCTTAAAGGCAACAGAAGAACTGTCAAGCAGATAACTGTCAGTAATGACCAGTAACAACTGTACACAGCAACTCCACTCTGCAGGGGCCCAGAGCCTATCCTGATCCTGTAACACTGCAGGACACAGGGAGGAGAACCCAAGTGACACTGGTGCTAATTCACCCACACTCACTTCACACTCCATCTGTGCCTTTATTCTGTCTCGTACAGGATCTTTTCAGAACTAATAGCAACCTTAGTTCTAGACATTTTATTTTTCTTTTCTTTTTAAAATAAATGAAAGTCTCAGTACTTCTTACCTCCTAAACCAGGGTGTAAACCTTGTGGACCTTGGTTTTGCTGCTGCATCACCATGAAGTTGGGGGGTACATTCCCCTGTTGCACCATAGGATTACGACTAGGAGAAGTGACAGGCTGCTGGAATCCCTGGGGAAGTGAGCTACTCTGGGGAGGCCTTGGTCCCAGCTGCTGCTGCGTCTGGTTAACAGTTGGAGATGAGGCAGGAGATCCCTGCTGGAAGGAGGAGGGGGAGGAAGCAGGAGACTTGTTGGTCAGGTGGGGTTGCTGTAGTGGTGTGGGAACCCGCGAGGGCCCTCCCTGAAGGCTTTTCATTTGAGGAGCAGTAAACTGGCCAGGATTGCTCATTTGGGGAAAGTTTGAGTGAGCCTGGGAAGCTTGCTGGCTTCCAAAAGGATATGGAGGTGGAGGATGAGTAGGAGTTTGTACTGTTGCTAGAGATGGTCTTGCTTGAAGTTGCTGCTGCATTTGTCCAGGCAACGGGGCCTTTTTCCAACCCTGGTTTACTGCCAATGTACCCAATGCTCCCTGGGTTGGAGGAGGCTGAAGTGTTCCAGAAGGAAGCTGGTTCCAGCCAGGGGGAACTGGAACCTGTGCTGGTGAAGTGAATGAAGGTCGAATACCCTGCTGTGGCTGCTGATGTGGCTGGGGAGGACGATTCTGCAACTGCTGCTGCTGTAGCTGCTGAAAGTTGGCTGAATTCATCTGCCTGTTTACAGGAACTGACTGCATTGAATGGAGCTGGGGAGCTAAAGATCCTGATGGATGATTTTGCTGCTGGATATTTAGCCCAGATAAGAGAGGGTCCATTGCATCTATTAAAATAGCAAAGAAAAGCAAAAAAAATAACCTACTGTAGACAAAACCCATCCTCAAACAAGGCTAAACTGCTTGCTTGCATTTGCTTACTCTTCACAAAAATTCACACTCCAGTTTCCAATTTCTCCAGCAGACAATGCTCTCGTTTCTAAAATGTCGAGGAGTCCTGGGAAGCCCTCTAAATTACAGCACGACAGTTCCACAGGGCTTGTTGCTGCAGTCTAATGTGAGCCTTCTACACACTCAGAACTGCAGAATCACAGAATACCTCAAGCTAGAAGGGACCCAAAAGGACCACTGAGTCTGACTCCCCACACCTGGTAGGACCACCTAGAATTACCCACAGGACTAAGAGTATTCTCCAGACACTCCCTGAGCTCTGGCAGGTTGGTGCTGTGACTACTTCCCTGGGGAGCCTGTTCCAGGGACTGACCACTCTCTGGACAAGGAACCTTTCCCTAATGTCCCATCTGAGCTTCCAGTGGTGCACCTTCATTCCATCTCCTTGTCTCCCATCACTGGTCCCCAGAGAGAGGAGATCAGCCCCTGCCTGCGTTGCCCCCTGTGAGGAAGGTGCAGACTTTCATGGGGTCGCCCCTCAGCTT